CACCATAAAAAAAGAACTCCTCAAAACCTAGAAAACGGCAATCTGAAAAATTATCTGCTGATTTGCTGTCGTTGGCGACGATGACAGCACTGCTGAAATATGAGAATCCTCCCTGATAAATGCCGGCCGTCCTACTTTTCGCCAGAAACAAAAAGTAGTAGTTTATCGATGAGCAACATTAGCAGCCACTGCAATGGCAATGGCAGTGGACTGCGAAGCCAAATGATTCTCTCCCTCTCTTTCTTTCTCTCTCCTCTTTCACCAGCAACGATGAGGCAATGATCTGGTGGTGGTGAGTTTTCTGTTTTGGTTTTCGTGGTGATCTGACCAAGCACCACCACCAACACCACCACCGTTGCCACCGCTGCTGTTGCTCGTCAAAACAAAACAAAACAAAACAGCGAAAACATTTTCCTGTGCTTTTCACCATCTCGCTCATCTGTGCCGAGTTTATCTGCTGATTATCGACCTATCATCTCTCCCATCTTATCAGCAGCAGCAGCAGTGAAGCAATGTACAAGCGGCGCTCCTGGCAGTCGCTCGTCGATCGCGTGCCCGGCCTCAGCAAGACCTTGACGTTGTGAGCAATTCGAATTTCCAAACCTCCCAAACTCGCTTGCCTTCTCCCTGAATCCCTGAACTCCTAAATTCCTTCCTGCAAATCCTCCTCAAATCCTCCTGAGAACTACCATGATACCCTTTTTCTCCTACAGATCCCGAGCTTGTCGGTGTCCAAACGATGAAGGCGGCGGCGGCGGCACCAGCTATCGAACCGGAACATACTACGGCTTCGCCGCTGACCTTGGTCAGCTGAGGCTTCGCTACAATCGCCAGGCGATCTTCATTGACCTGGATCGAGGAGGAGGAGAGGAGACGATAAACAACGACAATTCCAACAACAACAACAACCACCACCTCAAAGTATACAACAGCTCCTCCTCTTCTTCTTCTCAAGCAGAGGAAGATCAACAACAACAAAACGGTCCTCAACCATCATCATCGACTTCTGAAGCTGCTGATCAGGCTGCTGCTGTCATCGACCCTTCTTCTTCTTCTAGTCCTCCTCCCCTTTCTAAGCACACCATCACCATCGCCTGGAGCCAGCTGAGGAAGCTGAAGCGGCGCTCGGCGGAGACGGTCGAGTTTTGCTTCGACCGGACGAATCTTCCGCCCGCTCTGGCCAGTCTGGTCAGTTCGCAGCTGAAACAACAGCAGCAGTTCACCTCCTCGAAGACCAAGGCCAAAAGAAAGGCCAAAGCTAAAGAAGAAGAAGGAGAAGGCTCTAGGTAAGTTTTCAAGTTCTAAAAGTTGACCTTTTCATGGGTTCTAAAAACCTTTTCCCCAAACTTTTTAGCTCCACCAGCTGGTCACTGGCCGTCCACTTTGCAATGGGCGTCAGCGAGGACCTGCTGGCGGAGATGCGCCTGCTGGGGCTGGTCCGCAAAGTGCGTTACGGCTTTTGGAAGCTGCGCAAGTGCTACGTCCCTTTGGAGCAGGTCAACAGCAGCTCTACAGCAACAATTTCCATTACCACTTCAAAAGAGATCTTTGTTTGAAAACGAAGAAGATCAGCTCCACTTTTTGCTCCACACTTTAACTCACTCCTGTTACCTCAAGAAT